AAGTTGGTTTGTGTTCATTTTTGGTACTTTTGTGCATAATGGGTTTTTGTTATTTAGACTAGGCTACATGCCACTAGCTAGTTTGGATGATAAAAACAATAAATTGATCCGGTTGGCCACGGCATGACCTTACCTTGGAAAGTATCGACCCTAAGATTTGGATCGAGAAACATCAGTTAGATTAATAACATAAAGTAGGATAATTATGGTGAAATTGGATACACTAGACTATTTCTCATTGTTTGATCATTTATTTAGATCTCGATTTTATCTTAATTGTTATTTTTAGTATTTTTGTTATTCCTACTTAAATTTTAGTCAAATTGGATTTTCTTAAGTTGTTGGGTATTTTTATCATTTAATTTGATTTCATTATTTTATTTGTTTTTGCACAGTATTAGATTAATTGATAGCTCTATTCTCTATGGGATCCACCCTTACTTGTGCACTTTAATGTAATAGCAGAGGAATTAAAGTTGTTTTTAACCGAATAAGTGCAACGAGATTCCTTGCACGCATAATCTCCCTAATGAAGATCTGGATCAGTAATCCCATGCTTGTTGTAGGCCGGACTATGCTAATGGCAACTTACTACGTACTTATGGCATTAATCACCATATAAAAGAAGTCAAAAGACAAGAAGATGACACACATGAAGATCTTGGGCGTTGGGCTATTGTGTACTTTAGAGTCATGTGGCATTAATTAGACCATTCGGGAATTAGGCATAACACCTTAAATAAATAAAGGAGAAAAAATTGAGATATGGTATTTTTGAAACAAATTAAGATATATTAAAAAAAAATTAATGAATTTTATTTTAAAGGGATTAGTAAAATCTTTGACAAACTTGAATTAGGACAAGACTCACATGTAATAGTAGGGGTGAGCGGTTCCGGGTACCCTGCAATTTTCGGGGGAACCGGAACTAAAACCACACAGTACAAGCTCTAAAAAAAAGGAACCTGTATCGGAACCGCACAGTATAAGTTCTTAAATTCAAGGAACCGGAACCTAAAATACAGGTTCCAGTTCTTTTCCCGGGTACCCTGTAAAAAATATGCACCCCCCTATTAGTTTAAAAAATGACAAAAATACCTTACAAGTTTACAAATACACCCCTAACAAATTTTGATTACTCATTCATTTGTGTCCAATGTAACTCATAACCTGTAATCTCTAAGCAACACTTGAATTCAATCAATTCATCACAATTCACATAAAATTCGTCAATCAAAACCAAAACACAAACAATTATTCATCATAATTCACAATGTTTGTAATTAATTAAATTTCTAATCATTTAATTAATATACTAATGTTTATAATGGAATGTTATAATTGATTAAGTAATCATACTATAAATATATAAGGTAATGTTAATTAAATTTTAATCATTATATTAAGTAATGTAATAATGTAGTAAATTACTATGTTTATAATGTAATGTTATAAATTTATAACTAATTATGTACCATTTAACTATGTAATGCTATAATATTAAGTGTATATATAATGTAATATAATAATGTTATAATTTAATTAAGTAATTATTTAACTATAATGTAATGCTTAATTAATTAAATTTCTGATCATTTAATTAAGTAATCATTTATTTATAATGTAATATTACAATTAATGTTATAATATAATGTCATAATCAATTAAATAATCACTAATTATGTATGTATAACTAATTATGTAATCATACATAATGAATTAAGTAATCATACTATAAATCTTAATATAATATTATAAATTTATAATTAATTTGTTTATAATAGAACGTTATAATTAATTAAGTGATCATTTAATTATAATGTAATGTTACAATAATTAAGTATCATACTAAAATTTATAATTTAATGTTAAATTAATTAAATTTCTAATCACTTAATTAAGTATTGTATAATGTTATGTAGTAAATTAGTAATTACTAATGTTTAATATAATGTCATAATAAATTATGTAATGTTATAATTATTATGTGATTATATTATAATGTAATGTTATAGTGAATTAAGTAATCAGACTATAGATCTTTAATGTAACATTATAATTAATTAAATTTTAATCGTTTAATTAAGTAAGTAATAATGTAAAATACTAATGTTTATAATGTAAGTTATAAATTTATAACTAATTAAGTAATCATTTAACTGTGTAATACTATAATTAATTAGTGATCATAATATAATGTAATGTAATATGTTATAATTTAATAAATAATTATTTAACTATAATGTAATGTTTAATTAATTAAATTTTAATCATTTGTTTGTATGTAATGTTATAATTAATGTTATATATAATGTCATAATCATTTAATTATATAATGTTATAATTAATTATGTAATCATACTATAATGAATAAGTAATCATAATACAATCTTTAATATAATATTATATAATTTGTTTATAATAGAATGTATAATTAATTAAGATTCATTTAATTAATGTAATGTTACAATTAATTACGTAATCATACTAAAATTTATAATGTAATGTTGTAATTAATTAAATTTCTAATCATTTAATTAAGTATTGTGCTAATGTAGTAAGTTTATGTAGTAAATTAGATATTACTAATATTTATATATAAGTCATAATCATTAATTTATATTTTAATTATGTAATGTTATAGTTAATATGAATCATACTAAATGTAATGTTATAGTGAATTAAGTAATCATATTATAAATTTTTAATGTAATAGTATAATTAATTAATTTTTAATCATTCAATTAAGTTTGTACTAATGTTTATAATGAAATGTTATAACTGATTAAGTATTTACTATACATCTATAATGTAATGCTATAATTAATTAAATTATAATTATTGATTAAGTAATACTAAGTGTTATAACTTATAAGTCATTAATTAAGTGTAATCAATTAATGTAATGCTATAATTAATTATATATAAATCAATTAGTAATGTTATAGAATTATAATTATTAAGTAATCATTTAACTATAATGTAAGTTTAATTGATTAAGTATGATATTTAACTAGTAATTAAATTTATTAATGTTTATTAATTTATCATATATATTAATTAATTGCTAATTTACATAGATATACTGAACTTGATAATTGAAGTAAATAACTAAATATATTATTATTTAATCAAATATACTATTATTTAAAAATAATTCTTAATAACATTAAAACACTTTTAATTGGATCATAATTCAATTATTCACTTAATTAATCAAAACTTTAATATATATATTATAATATATTAAAGTTTTTATATGGTGTAATTTATATGTAATAAGTATAATTGTTATTTATTTAATTAGGTTATTCTAAAAATTAACTTTTTCTATTTTAAATTTTTTTATAAAATAATGAAACCCCTCATTATTCACATTCCACAAATATTTCATATTTCATTGTAGTCCAGGTTCCAAACAGGTTTCAAATAAGTTCCAAAAATCGGTTCTTTTTCCAAGTTTCGGTTCCTACACTAAGAACTGGAACCGAACCGCACAGTGTCGGTTCCAATAAAATGGAACCGGAACCTACCTGCACAGTGCCAGTGCCGATTCCGGGTAGGTTCCGGTTCCGGTTCTACCCCTAGATTCGGTTCTACCTGCTACCCCTGCTCACCCTACGGTATAGTAATAGATTAATAATATTTTATTTAACATTTCTTCTCTTTCCTAAAATTTTCTGTTGAGCTACAGTCACACATCTCTCAATCCTATATAAGATAACACACCCATTTGTGATGAAAATTTTAAAAGAAAACTTTAGATTTATAACAATTGCAACTTAAAAATAACACCGAGATTGGAAAAATATTCTTGTGAAAGACTAGGCTCTTTCCTGCAGCTTTCAAAACGGAACTAAAATAGAGCTAGCTAGCTAGAGGCAGAACTTTCTGAAATTTAATTAAAACGATTGCCTGACTGGATTCTTATTTGCGATCAACAGTAAAGATTATATTAGGCATTCAGCAGTTTTGTCTCTGATTATATAATATACCTAACGCGTTTATATGGGAAGATTTGTCCTACTAACCACTTAAACATCGATTTCTACCCACCAAGTTAGACAAATTATTTGACCTACATCAACTCACATTCATATTTTATTAGTCCGGCCGAGGCCTTTGTTTTATTTCTGGCCTGTTTGATACTATCCACAGGGCAACAACACTTACTAAGTATTCACATTAACTAAGCATATATAATTGTTCAGATATATGGGTAGGTTGTTACAAAAATATTATTTGTCTAAACATAATTGTTTTCATCGATGACAGCAGTCCGCAATTACCTAATGGTAAACCTTTTTTTTTTTTCTTTTTGGTATTAATATATATCTATTATATTTGTGAAGTAAATGAAGAGAAATATCTATTTTAAGTCACTAATATTAATCAAGTAAAAAAAAAAAAATGTTTGTTTTGCTGAAATTACCTACTCAACAAAACCAAAACTATATTATTTTTACATAAATCACGTTCTATTTTAAGACTACAAATCATTCTATTAACATTTGTCAGCACAAATAATAGGAAAATAATAAATACATATCTATGCCAATGTTCTATGCAATAATGTTATGGTTGATCTATTCTAGTCATCTCATATAGTATAAATCCTTATTATTACTATATATAATTTTAGTAATAATATATAGTAGGAATTTCTTTGATGGCCTGATATACACATGATATAGTATTTAATTAGGCAGATTTCATCCCACAGTCCACATTAAACAAAAGAAATACATTTTTCTTCTTTCTCTTTAATCAAATGAATTGATAAATTAAATGAAATTATATTAACATGGGTATCAAGTTAAATATGTCAAGTTGGAAGACTTTGACAATGTATTGAAATCTTTGATGGCAAGAAACATAAATATACTTGGTTCATTATATATATCGTCATTGTCCGGCCTTACATGTTAATTAGCATTTTATAAACTTCTCCATTTCCAGTGGAACCTAATAATTATCATCCCCTTTCATCTTCACTTAGAAACAATTAATTCTTCTTCTCGATCTCCCTCTTTGCTCTCTCCTTCCTTTAATTTGAGAAATCAGTTAGCCTCATAGGAAGTGTCTAATGGGTGACAAAGCAACCTTAGCTAAAGCAAGAAGAGAGCTTGAAGATTTGTACCTAGGCATTCCAGATGACTCAGTTAACCTCACTTTTCAAGACCTAGCAGAAGTAAAACAAACCTCAAATGTATCAGCACTAGAAAAGAAAAACTCAACACTACTTTTGGAACAAATCCAAGAAGTCAAAACCCCAAAACATAGCTCATTACCTTTAAACAAATTACCCAGCCTTGATTTCAGTAAAGGATTAGATAGCATTGTTGACTCTCATAAGGGTCATCGTGGGCATGCAATATCACCAATTCATCGTTACGGTGAGGAAGAGCATCGTAGGCATTCGATTAGTCCCAAGAAACGTGCTGAATTTAGGCATGCAGTGGAGAGTAGTATGCCGTATGATGATGCGAGTGTGATGAGCATGGCTTCGACATATCAAGACAGAGGTCAATGCCGCCGTCCGGGGATTCCACACTCCAACATTTGCACAATCTGCTGCACCTACATCTACATATTCCGCCATCGATGTTTGGTATGTTCACCAGGATCCTCTCTCCTGATTAAATTTTATTTTATTTGACCTCAACAAACTTCAAAGTTTTGATTATTGTTGGTTAATAAAATTAGTATAATCTCAATTATAATTATATAATATGGTTATTAAATAGATGTGTATATGAATTCAAAACCTCAGAAGGATTTTTAAACAAATACAAATGTAATGTTTTTAATATATGTGCAGGTTTGCGGAAGAGTATATTGCAGGGAGTGTGTGAGTGCAGGGATGGGAGAGATGACAGAAGGGAGAAAGTGCGTCCAGTGTTTAGGGAGAAGATTCAGCCAGAGGTAACATATAATATAATGTATTTTCTTTCAATTTTAAATTAGTGCTTTCAAGGATCCATTCTTAATAGTTTTAGTAAGACGTCAAAAACTGTTTAAATATTCAAGTTGTAAACATTATGTTTGAAGTCAAAACTCACTTCAATCATTCATGGTTTTTTTATTTTTTATTTTTTATTTTTTATTTTTTATTTTTTATTTTTATTATTTTTTTTTTTTTTCCAATACCCCTTCTCTTTTTAAAATATAGGTAATCTTCCTCTCCATCATTAAAGAACCTCCCTTAAATTTTCTAATGATGGAGGATGTCTCAAAAAATATTAATACAGTCTTAGAACCGTATTCCTAGATGCAATCCACGGATGATTTCTTAAAGGTCAACGAATGTTTTGAAAAGGGAAAGATATATGTATGCCTTTTATTTTAAGGTAAAAAGTTAAATAAATCAACAATATTTACCCCACCGTTTTTTTTCTTTCTCAATGATTAGTGTCAGGTTAAATGATTAAAATCTAGCAATATTAGACACTCAGTTTTATGGAGGTTTTTTTTTTTTTTTTTTTTTTTTCTTTGTGGTCCTATTATGACTTTTAAAATTTTTTAAAAGAATTTGTTAAATATAGACAAGACAAGGCCGTCCAAACTCTTGCCTCGATCGCGAAGGTGAACACCCGTATTTTTAATCTCTAGTTTTAATAAAATATGTAAGGTTCAGCTCATGCTTCAGTTCGAAAATTAATTTTTACTCCTTCCACAAAAATCAGTATGATCCTCGAAAATAAATTTAATAGAGAAAAACAACAACTCTATCTGGATTAATATGCTAATTTTGATACACATGCAGGTACATAAAAAGAGCTGGAAAGGTAGGGTGTTGTTCGAGGTACCCAAATATGGTGAAACAGGCTGAGCTGAAGTGGGCAGAGAAAGGACCAAGGAGTGGCGACAGAGCATATGGACGCAGCACCAATATGATGTCAAGATCAAAAAGCCCCGTGACCCCAAGGACACCAACCACCGCGCATATTGGTGGTTTTGGTACTCCTTCATTTGTGGCTGCCTCGCCCTATTCTCCATATACTCCTAATCATCACCATCTCCCACTTTAATTAAAAACCCACCCCTTAGTTATCTTAATTTATTTAATTTCCTCGAACATTTACCCCATGCATGTTTTTAATTTGCTTAATGTTGTTTATTCATTTTATATGTTGAATTTGAATGCAGTACATTCTCCAGGATAACGAGTACTAACACGGTAGGATGCTCAATATATATAATTGCTGGCTCTTTTATGCGATTAGAAAATAATTGTTAAAAACCATCTCATGTGTGTTATCTCAAACTTTTTTATATATATTGTTTCGGTACTTAGAATTAATGAAGTATTCTCCTAAAGCACTCTAATAGGAAAATGTATGAATGTAGGAGAAAGGACAAGAATATTGTAAGAGATAATTTGAGACAATAGTAAATTGAATGAGAGAGGCTTAAAGTTGTGTAAGAATTAGAACTCTTGTGTTCTATTTATACGGTTTTACACAACCTTTCACATACATAACAATCCGTAGGGAATTTCCCCTCCGAACAGGTTGGCAATCTTCGCAGGGTCTTTTCCCTAGGGATTCCCCGAACGGGGGATTATTTCCTCCCCTTAATTAGTTATTTTTTTTTTTAATGTTAATATATATATTAACATTAACATTTAGTCATTTACATAATACATATACACAACAATATCAAAATTTTAATCAAACTTATGTTATTGTGATATTATCTATTGTTGATGCAAAAATACACCAACTAGAGCGATTCGATAGACCTCGACAGTATTGGAACTGAGGTGTGCGTGATTATGGGTAACTAGCAATGAATAAACAGTAAATGCAGTAAAGAAAATGACAAGAAAGTTTTTAAAGTGGTTCAGCGAGTTGCACTCTTGAGCCTACGTCCACTGTTCTTGTATTTGCTATGAAAGCTTACAATAACAATCCTAGAATAATTTGCTAACCCCATTCTCGTTGTTAAAGGGGGTTTATATACAGAAGTCGTACAAAGGAAATAGCGAAAATAAAGGGATTACAATTAAGTTTGAAATGCAATTATGATATTCTTGCGATTGAGCGTTGTAATTACGCCAAGATTGTTGTCAATTTGATCACTTCCGAGATACCCAAGATCTGAAGTTATCTGTGAATTGGTTGATCAACTATAAGGATTGGTCACGACTAGCTTGTGCTAGGTCGAGCTACAACTCGACGAGCTTATGCTGGGTCGAACAATCCATTGAGTTGAGCTGATTCTGGATCGAGCTATAACCTCGCAATTCTCTGAGCTTAAAGGAAAAATCACACACAACGTCTGCCAGCTAGTGTTCAATGCTCGTTTCGAGCTTCGAAGACTATTGCTCAATTTGATATCAAGCTCAGTATTCATCGGTAGGGCACTAAATGCAGATTCGATCGAGCTTCATAAGTCGGACTAATCACCAGTCAACGTACTCAACACTTGACCTTTTCTCATTTATGATATTCTTAACAAACTCGGAATTTGAAAAGAATGGGTATTTGTGTAAATTCCACTTGATCATGTCACATTAAATGGGGTAACCTTTGGCAGTTACTTTTTGTCGCCCGTGGGCGACTATAGCTGTCCATGTGCAAAGTTGAGGTGACGTGCAGTGACGGTTATGATTGTGGTAGTCTGACGGTTGATCACCCCTCGCGGATGATTGACATGTGGCCATGTCCAAGGGCCAAGATTGCTTGATGAATGAAGGGTTAAGATTCATTGTAGATCGATGGCTATGATCGTACCCCGGCCTTTTGTCTCCCATGCAAGCCACTATAAAAGCGGGCAATCATCGTCAAAACTTCTTCACACTTTGCAAAAGTTTAGAATTTAATGTGCTTATTTCGTCGCTACTTTTTCGCTTTCATGGTGCTCTTCCGGCGAGTTTCTTCCATCTTTTAACTTTGGTAAGGTTTCTTTCCCCTTCTTTAATTACTTTTATGCCTTTTTACGATTAAGGGTGGCCATTGTCGTGGCCACATTGAGCTTCTTAGAGCTTTGCTAGGGTTTTTGAATGTCTCCCCAATACTCCTAGGGTTAAGGAGGGTTTATGGTGGCAACCATCAAAACCCTGGTAGGACGCGTGTGTCTATTGTCCGACGCAAGCTACCTTGGGTGCTTGAACTAAAAGAAAAGTGTGGATAGGTCACGAAAATTTCAAGCTTTGAAACATGTTCGCTTCTATTTCAGGTACCCAAAAGTGAGTTATAATAATGTCCTCGTCAAGTAGCCATTCCATTGATCATATTTTCGATTCCCCAACGAGGTCGACAGTCCTTAGGGGCATACTCCCTGAGGTTTATGCGGATATCGTGGCACAGACTTTGGACCTTGATGCGGTAGGCTCTTCGACCATGCCTCTGTGGAGGTTGCCTAGCTGAAGTGATCTCCGGTCCATAGGTCATGCAAGGAACCACAATCTTTGATTGGGGTCAAGGATCGAAGCCGCATAAATGAGACTTATGCACCTCAACTTAACTTGAGTGTTTTGGGAGGGTTCTCTCGAAAGAATCCCCCCACAAGCTACGTGGCAGTCTCTGAGTCCCTTCTAAGGTGCGGACTGTCTATTCCTGCCTATCATTTCATCGATAGTGTTTTGAGACGATTCGACATCATCCCTCTCCAACTGTCGGCAAACTCATATATTATAACTGTAGGTTTGTACATAGCATACCAAATAGCGAGTTAGACAAGTCATTTATAGAGGAACTTGTCCATTTGTATAGGTTAACAAAGGGACAATATCAAACGTACTACCTCTCCAAGGTAAGGAAAGTACATTTTAACTGTTTGGTTGACGTTCCAAAGAAGGTTCCATATTGGGACTCATAATTTTTCTTTTATAAGGTCGGGGAGACCAGCGTCTTTGCTTCAAAAGCTAGTAAGATTTCTATCCCTGTGTATGCAAAGAGTGTTTCCAAGCTACAATGTTGAATTGGTTGAATTTCTTTGCTTTGCAGTAAATGTCAAGTAAAATTTTCTCCCCACAGCGAGCTTAAGTGATTTCAATGCTTCAGCAATCTCTCCGAGAGGGAGCGCATCGTCAATGAGATTATCTCGCTTCCTCAATTGAGGGCGTACTACTTTTGCACGAACGAAGCCACATTCAACACTATTCTTGAAAAGTAAGTGTTTACTTGCTCTTTTTTTTTTTTTTTTTCTTTGGGTTGTTGATTGCTCGTTCCTTCCTTAGTAGATATGTGGGTTGAGAAACCAAAGGGCCTAAAGAAGAAAACGGTAACGCCCGAGGCTGCCAAGAAATCGTCAGTCGCTTAGGCGAAGAAGCAGCCTACTGACATTACTGAAACAGTCCAGTAGGGTGTCTCGCCCTTGGTCCTCAAACACAATTGTGGAAAGCTTGGGGAAGGACCAAGTGCCAAGAAGTTCGCGACTACCTCCAAGGCAGTCAAGGAGAAGGGTGCCTTTAAGCCTTAAAAGAGCCTGGTGAAGAAAACCTCTTAGCCAATTAGAGGCTCAGAGAAATAGAAAGCGCCCAAGTAGCATGATGGCATGAGCAAGAAAAAGATGCCAGAGCAGTATGAGGGCTCTAGCAAAAAGAAGCAGACCGAGCCACAGGAGGGCTCAAGAAAATAGAAGGTTGTCGAGCAGCAAGGTGGCTCAAGCAAAAAGGCTGCAGGGCAAATCGATGGCCCTAAGAAGTCTATGGTGTAATGCTTTCTTTCTAGCTAGTATACTCGCAAAATAATCACTAAAACTCATTAAAAATATATATAAGAAAATACACATATATATACGAGTAATAAATATGGGCCCATATTTAATTTTTCTTTATATACAAATATTTACAAAATGTTCTCAAAAATAGCAACTTGACAGAGTAGCCCGACCCTTCCACTGCGTGACGTTCCGAGCGACCGTAACTTACCTATTCCTTGCAAAACATTAAAAACAACGGAGTGAGCACTAATGGCTCAGTAAGTAAACCCACTATGCTACCCTTCTCTCTCTCTCCGTTGCTTAAAATTCCAAATTTTCTTTCCTACATCACATTTCCCGATTATTATCTATTCTTTCCCTATTCTTCTCTCTGTTCTTTCTCTATTCTTTCTCTGTTTTGCTCTCTGTTTTCTAAATTTTTCACTACCTATGATAATGAGCATGGTATTATGCATATTCATGATGCAAATGCATAAATGCATAAATTATGCATTTTATGAATTATGCATTTTCTTTTCTATTTTTCTTATTCTATTTTCTTTATTTCTTTCTTTCTTTTATAGTCTTTCTTTCTATTCTTTCTTTTCTATTCTTTCTTTCTATTCATGCCGATCGGACTCAGTTGAGGCATGGATTTGGAGCCTTGGCCTTGTGACTGAATTCTCTAATTCTGGGTATAGTCTGTTAGAGTAGATGCCCTAGAGCCAATCAATTATTGTAGAATTGACTCTTTGTAATAATGTTAATTAATCAATAAAAGGCATTTTATTCTATATTGCGTAAATCATTATTATTGCAATATGTATTGATACATGTCCTTAGAATGGTAGAACCATGACGAGGGTATCAAGTGTTTCAAATCTTGATAGTGAGAACCCTATAAGCACATATGGTGGCCATTCTAGAAACGTTCGTACCCCCAGTATTATTATAAAGTAAAGGCACAGATAATACGGTAAGGCTATCATAGTGTTGAACGACCCTGTCGAAAGGCAGTGACTGATCTCACTTGTCAAGGTTGTTTGGTGACAACTTAGTGCAACACATGGGTGCTTGTTGTAGGCGATTACACCGCAGCAAGTTCACTAGACTGGCCCAGCAGAGGATTCCATATGGATGGTAACCCCAATGTCTATGGAACAAAACCTCTAATGCATGGTGGTGCATGTGATCCTTAGACTTGAGATCATCGGAGCGCCTTGTGCACCGATTGGTGTAGTTTGACACTAGCCTANTTTGAAGAAGAATTGAAGAATTTGAGAGAATATGGAGGTAAAAGTGGCGTGCAAATGGGTAAGAGTGGCTAGGGTTTCACTCTTCAATTTGATATAACATAAAATTGAAGAGTGAAATTATATATTAGTTTCCCATTTTGCCCTTGCACTTTCTTTAAAATTCCATCTATGTCCTTTA